ATACACTAGCTCATAAATCTTTATATATATATATATATATATATATATATTCAACACATATATTCATGGTTTTTATATTTTGGTTTGTCACGGTATGCGTCGTCTGTATATATAATGCATAATTTTTCATTTCCAATACGGCAAATTTGAAAGGAAAACATGGACTCTTCTTTTTCTTGGTGATCCTTGGAGTATTTGGCTAACTGATTTTCGAGGAAATTCAATTGTTCTGGAAAGCGTGTTCTACTCCAACAAGTAAGCTAGCCCATGAATCATTCAATTACCTGGAAAATCAAGAGACAGAGACACTGATTTTGGTTTCAATTTTCACATAATAAACGACAAGACTTGTCAAACGGAGGGTTTAATCTGGACACGTAAGTTTTTTTATGAACTAAAGAAGAATGGGCTAATTTCTCTGCCATGCACAACTATAATCTATAAAAGGAGCCGTAACTATGTGTGTATAATTAATTATTTTAAGTGCATAAAGAAGAGAAAGGAAAGAAAGACAGAAATGGAACCTTGGATGATCTTTCTTATACTTGTGTGGTCACTATTTGCTTTCTGTGTTCTTTTGACGTTACTAAGACGACGAGATGGTGGCAGGCTCAACGGCACTGGTGATGGTGGTGGTGGTGGTCGTCATGCTGTTCGTGGTATGGGTACAGGTACGCACGTAGGTGGTGGTGGTGGTGATTTTGGAGGTGGGGGTGGCTGTGATTTTGGAGGCGGGGGAGGTGGGGGTGGGTGGAGGTTGTTGACACAATGACACCATATCTCTCTTGTTCGGGATTCATGATCGAGGATGATTCCTGAGGTTTAATGTGATCATTTGTTGTACAAGTTCAATTATTGTATTTTTAACATTATCTTTTTTAGCCCATATATTTGTTTAGTACGATTATTTCTTAATGTATATAGATTTCTTTTATTTATTTAATACCACACTTATTGTAACACTTTTTTTTTCTCATTAAACATCAATCGAAACTCATGAGATGATCTTAAAAATTCATCAAACTCATCGATTTAATACGTTAAGAATAATATGACGAATTTAGGTTCTATAGCTTATTACAACATAGATAATAGTATTAATCATAGGGTAGAATTTATTATCTGTTAATAAATTACAACTCGGATGACATAATGTTCTATCTTCTAAGAAAATCTCGAGTTTGAATCTCTTTTATATATACATAACCCCCACTAATTAGTCTAATGTATTATGATAAAATTCATTAATCACAGAGAAATTTCTTGCTTGAGAAAAGGCAGATGGATGAGGGAGGAATGAATATGTCATCTGGGAAAAAGATAATTTAGCTGCAACATGTCAGCAAAGTTTGTAGCCTCCCTCCACATGTTGTATATATGCTTTTAGCAGCATTAAAAAATATATATTTAATGATGTTCTCCCACTAATAAGGTTGTCGGTGAAGAGAACAAAAAGTAATTGTGAAAAGCTAGAAAATTAAGATGAAAATTCACATAAACAGGACTTAAAATACTAATTAAATGGATGTTTTATAAACATTTTCAACATATATACTGTTTTTAAAACATCAATCATTCAAACAAATATTTTCCATCTAACAACATTATAAATAATTGTATATTCACAATTCTTTTTTACATCATTTTTTAGGATTCAAATCTTGGATCGATGATAAATTAACATATTATTATAAATATATATATATGACTTAAAGGATTTAATTGAATAAATGCAAGTCCTTGACTTGAAGGATTTAATTGAATAAATGCAAGTCCTTCTGGCCAAACGAGTTCTATATTCATTTCAAACTATATCTCCTCAGCAAAAGATTATACAAGTTTATTAACTAGGTCGTGAATTGATCTCTTAAATTGTCCAACTTTGATCAGATTTTTTTTTTGTTGCTCGATTTAATAACACAACACTGTATTTTATTGAGTATCCTGCCCTCTGGTTCTAATGCATGATCAGCATAAGAAAACTGCACTGCCTAATTTTCCAAGTGACATTTTGTCAATCGGTCTAATTATGTATTCGTGGATTAGAAAGAAAGAAAAGATTGAGAACTAGCTAGGAATCCACAAAATGTGCCAGAATTAAGGTCTTTAGTGAGGAATGCGACAATAATCAACACAAGGAGAAAAGTTTGAATAGTCATACACATGTAGATGACAGACAATTTCATATTTATGAATATATACTTCGAAGTGGTTTTTTTCTTTGTTTTACCTCTAATAAATACAAAAAATCAACAAGACTATTCAATCCTAGCCATGCTGTAATCTCCCATACCTTAATCGCCTTTTACTATGATCGTGGCCCAATAGCATGTAAAATTACCAGGTTTCTTTCTTCGATTATTATTTTAGGCTATTTTAATGCTATTTCATCCTAATAATATCACCCCATAATAATTTTATAAAACCCTTGATTTTACATAAAAATCATAAATTAAATAAATCAAAATTCAAACAAAACAACAACCAAACTTCTTAACAACGTGTTAAAATACTCTACCGGGCAATAATATACACTCCAAAAGCTAATCAGTCAAGATTTATCAAAGCTTTCTCATTTTTTATTCATCTTCTTTATCACACCTGGACATCACAATGATCGATAAAAAAATGATCTTGATTGAAAAAACAAAATAGATATCTAGCATCTTATTCTTTGGGGGAAAAATGTTTTGTTCAAAGAGTCGCTGCCAAGTATTCTAGTTACTAGGAATCCTAACTGGTCAACAAAAATTTTATGGTACGAGACTAGCTATGAAAAAAAAAAGATGTTATCATCTCTTAAGCGTCCTACTTGAGGCATGTTGTATTGCTGATTTTGTCTAAAATTGCTAATAATTTGCTCTCCTTTTTCTTTTATTCTTCTTTTCATATTCCTGACTCTAGCATTGGTGAACAATTCCTACAAATATTTCCAACTTTGGCATCTGTAAATATCGCACAAATCTAAAAAATACAATATTCCTAACTCTGGTGTCAGTGAATAATGTCGCACCCTCACGAGAGCTCGACGTCGCAGCACCCCTTCCCGGTAGTGAGGAATTCATGAAAGGGTATTTATTTGGTGAATAAGAGAGTCGTCACCTAATATTATAGTCACTAGGAATCTTAACTGGTTATTAGATATTCTAAGACAAAGAACTGGTTGCGTAAAGGGAAGGTTTTAACACTCTTAGTACACTCTACTTAAAGTAAGCTATTTGGTGTTTGGTTTGCTTTATAATTGTTATAGTGTTGGTATTCTTTAATCAGTTTTTCTATGACGAGTTTGCTACGATAAATGAACTTGGATTCAAAATCTAAAAGAAAAAACCATTTACTAATATAAATCATATCTTTAGATTTATTATTATAAATTAAGCTTCAAATCTTTAAGATTTTATTGATCTCACTCTAGGTATAATAGAAAAAGTCATCTCTCAATTCATCCACTATTAACAATAATTAAATATTTGTCCAATCTACGCATTCTCTAAGGCTTTCATTTATGATGCCAAATTAAGCTCGAATATGTCATAAATTTCATCCACTACAATACACTAGCTCATAAATCTTTATATATATATATATATTCAACACTTATATTCATGGTTTTTATGTTTTGGTTTGTCACGGTATGCGTCATCTGTATATATAATGCACAATTTTTCACTTCCAATACGGCAAATTTGAAAGGAAAACATGGACTCTTTTTCTTGGTGATCCTTAGAGTATTTGGCTAACCAGTAATAATATGATTTTCAAAGAAATCCAATCGAACTGGGAAGCATGTTCTACTGTAGCTTTGCATTGGCTGTCAACCTGGTTGAAAAATTACTATTTAAATTTTATCTACATAAATAATGATCTCACCAAAAGTTCAGATGGTGTCCGGAGGTGGATGAACAACAACAATCATAAAGTAATATAGATTGATAGTGTTTAGATTTTTAGTGGCTAACCATTTAATAGCTACTTGGATGTTTTTAATTTTTTCCCAACTTTTACTCTGTTTTTAGCAAAAATCCAGATTTTGTAACAAATAACTTCTTGTTATTCTGTTTTAATCATCCTCTGCATAGCTATTTTAATATATTCAAATGTGATTTTATATTAACAGTCTTTAATGGGGTTTCCTTTCTCATTCATATATATATATATATATATATAGAATCACCAATCTTAACTCTCAACGATTGCTTTTAGTTAAACGAGGGTTTCTCTCATTAATTCATTCTTGTACTCTTCCATTCTTTTTAATTGAGCTCATCGATTGGATTTTTGTTTGATTGAGTCCTTATAGGTCATACATGCTATGTTGATAATATGGTCCCTCTATTAAAATTGACTATTAGTTAACAATATTGAACCCGTTGATGATTGACTTTATATATACATTTCTAACAAAAAATATATAAATATTTTTTAACAAAAAAAAAAGAACATTAAAAAGAGAGAAATCAATATTAAAAAATCTCCGATGTTCTTGTGATAAATAGGAATTAATATTGGAGGTTGGTTTTATTATTATTTTATAATTAGGACTTGACACACAGTGCATCATCTGTTAGGTCGGTTAGTCAATTACGATGGAAGGACCAAATTATAAATATTCCGCAATGTTCGGTGACTCGAACAGTGAAGCTATAAAGCGACCCGAGATGCCACCCTACGTGGCAAATGGCAATCCCTTGAAGAGAATTAGTCAGAAGTTGACCAATTGTTATAACAAGTAAGCTAGCCCCATGAATCATTCAATTACCTGGAAAATCAAGAGAGAGACGCTAATCTTGATTTCAATTTTCACATAATAAACGATAAGACTTGGCAAACCGCGGGTTTAATCTGGACACGTAATTGTTTATAAGAACTAAAGAAGAATAGGCTCCCTTCTCCGCCATGCACAACTATATATAAATCTATAAAAGGAGCCGTAACTATGTGTGTATAACTAGTTATTTTAACTACATAAATTAAAGAAGAGAAAGGAAAGAAAGACAGAAATGGAACCTTGGGTGATCTTTCTTATACCTGTGTGCATAATATTTGCTTTCTGTGTTCTTTTGACGCTACTAAGACGACTAGAAGCTGGTAGGCTCAACAGCACTGGTGGTGGTGGTGCTGGTGGTGACATAGAAGATGGTGGTCTTGGTTGGACAGCTGATACTGGAGGAGTAGGCGGTGGCTGTGATTTTGGAGGTGGGGGAGGAGGAGGCTGTGATTTTGGAGGCGGGGGTGGTGGAGGCGGAGGCTGGGGCACCATTTTCATTTTGAGCCCATATATTTGTTTAGAGCAGGTATTTCTTTAATGTATATTTCATTTAGTTAATACCACTCTTGTTGTAATAAAAAAAAAAAAAAAAACCGAAGTCTTTCTTAACTCATTGCACATCAATCGAAACTCATCAAACGATATTACAAATAATATAATAATAAGAGGATTCAATCTTCCCATTCCCAACTTGGTAAGGATAGGATAGCCTCTTTTGATAAAAAAAAAAAAAAAAAAAGGTGAGTTTCCGTGATCCTTCCAAACCTCTTTTATCTTTTCCAATAATATAATTCAGTTCCATAATATTTAATTTTCATTTAAAATTTTATTTTTTTATATTTTAATCCTAAATAAAAAAAATTTACTAGATTCTGGTGTAAGAAAGAAAATTATTCTAGACTATAATTACCATCAAAAATTTTAATCTTGATGTCACCATGTTCTATTAAGTAAGAAGATTCTAATTATATATTTTAAAACTTTAAAATTGTCTAAGAAACCAAATCTAGACTTATAAAGATTTTTTATTTGGGGGATAATTTTAGGTTTTTTATGGCCATTTATAATATTATCAAGGTATTTAGGGTCTTTTCTAGATATTTTTTTAATCAAAATAGATTGAAAATAGTTTTTTAAACCAAGAATTTTGATTTTTTTAACCACTGTAATAGTCAGAATCTAGAGAATTCTAGGTAACATGTTATTAGTTGTTATTTTTTTTTTCAAAAAAAGGCAGCCAAGGCAAGCAAGAAACCAAAAGGGGAAAACACTCCTCAAAGCTGATTTGTTCTTTCTATTCATCTTTTTCTCATGCGAGAGCATGTGAAAAATAAAGTATGGGAAAATATTGTTTGAAGCATCTCTCAATCTTTACCCACGCCATTTAGTTTTTTCTGTAATGATTATCCATAATCTATAATTATGAAATATTTAATTCGATCAAAAAAGTTTTTATGTAATTTAACGACTTAATTTGATTTTTGAAATAATTAAAAACATAAAGAATATACAACCAGTGATCGACCATTATTATATATGTAATTTAATTGACAACATCCATTATCATAGCGTTCGACTGACTTTTTCTCGAGTAGTAGACAGTCAAAATATGTATCGGGTTTTCATAGAGATTTCCATTATTATTATTATATGTAATTTAATTTACAACATCCATTGTTCAAGGTCTTGCCAATAGGCTGGGTAGAATAATCTATCATCGTTTCGTGAGAGAGATTTCTTAGTTTCTTTTCCTGTATTTCGGAAACAAGGACTTCGAATTAGTTTTTATATAACATAAAACTAAGTCCTGGCACGTAGTTTAGATCAGGAATATAGAATGTATCTGTTCACTAAAAACTACACTAAGCCTCCGGGGATTTCTTCGACCCTCTCTCGATCGGTGCATGACTCGCAATCTATCTTGTATTTGTATTTTTGCATGCCAAGGAATGCTATTAGATATTGATCTCATTTACGTACGTGGAATATATATGACATCTGTTTGAGATTGTTGCGGGATGTTCTGAGGAGCTTTGAGCGAAGTTTTGTCTTCTTGAATATATCCTTATTTTCTACGTCATTTTCTATTATCCTTGGCCACTACAGCCTGCATGCAAACTGGAACTTTGACGGAGACCCTCGCAATACGTAAGAATTGACGGCTTCAAACTCGAGGCATGGATTAGATGGTAATGTTTATGTGTAGATCTGGCAAGTCATCTTAAGTCGGACTAAGGAAAAATGGCAGTTCCTGTTCTTACCATCAATTCAGAGTTTTGAGTTGCTCGGGAAAATCAACAGACCAAGGTTTGCTCCTGTTGTGCCTGGAATCGTAAACTCGTTGTTTTCTTGTTCTTCGGAGTAACTAAAAGCGCTCGCTCCACCTAGCTGTCTGCAAACCTTGGACAATCACTAGGCTATAAAAATGAGAGGCAGTGATATTCCTTGTTTCTCAAGTTTCAGTAATGGAGGCCTCAGCTGTATTTGTAACAGCTTTCTCGTCTATTTTTCTCTGCAAGCTAGGTTTTAACCGCAAAGAGGTCGAGCAGTCCAAGCCAATTGAAGAAAATGGCTCCAAAATCAAAGGTGTTGAAGAAGATTATGGCACCATAGAAGAGGGTCGTGAAGCTGGTGGTAGTGGTGGTAACTGAAACTACTTTCACGTTCTCTATCATCTTTGTCATACTTGTTACTTCTTACATAAGATCATCTTCGTCATGCTTGTTACTTTCAAAAATTTATTTAAAGCAAGAAAAACTGAAAAACACAGTTGGACCATACAAACAAACAGTACCTTAATCGACCCAAACCAGGTGGATCAATCCTCCTACAAGCCTGCTTAACTCATGCGCTTTCTTATTAATGGAGTGGTGGGATATTCTGGGCCAGAGTACCAATCTATGTCCCCATCAAATTCTACAATATACGACATGAAAGATACACCAACCCCAAGCCAGGCAAATGCACCATCGCTCTCTCCCCAATTAAGTTGAATTTGTGAAGAGAATCATCCAGCGTTTTCATTGACGATAGCCACTGTGATCCGATTGAAAAAAAGAAGGAAATTTAAAATTCTGGGATTCGGTAACTGATCAAGGATTCTGAGACTAAAATGTCGAGCTAGCAAGCTGCTTATGCTCATGAATTAACTCATTTTGTCATGAATTATATATATAAAACTTCTGAATCAGGACTCAAAAGTCAATAGTAATTTTCTATAAGTCGAAGTGACACTAAAAAGCATGAACATCCAAGCTATCTAAGACTTCGATTTCAAGTGGCTGATGTGATTTTACTGCATGCTTTGATTGGTGGCTTCACAGTATGCCAAGCAAGCAAATAAACTTTTTGCCAATTAGAATACAATTTTCTTTTCTTTTACAAAATTCCTCAATTTCTGATTTTCCCCCTTTCTATGAGCTGAACCATTGCAAAAAACTCACGAAAGCCTTTTTAAGTGCTGAAATAAGTGACACTCAATAATCAAAATTGCAAGCCAAGAAATTAAGAACAGGCTAGGGCATGCATGAAAATCTACTTGGACTTCATGTTCCGAAGCTGCGATCTCCTGCATCTCCAAGTCCAGGAACTATGAACCTGAAAAGAACAGATTAATAAGATGGTGAAACACACATCTTCACCTCTAACTGTTTGTTGGGTATCATAATGGTGACAGGTACTTACCCTTTGTCGTTAACAGTGGGGTCTATGATTCCAGTGTAAACATGAAGCCTGGAAAATCACCAAATAAGGAAACGGTAAATGCCTTACAAATATTTCATCCATATTTACTTGCAAAAAATCATTTGAGCATATTACTACCCTGGGAATTTCTCACTGAGCTTTTGAAGGGCTGGAGGAGCAGCTACAGCAGATATCTGTCATACAGCAGTTTTTCCTTCAGCAATCTACTCACTGAAGTTTACACGCACACACACACACACACTTGAACAGAGACTAAAAGACCAGACTTCCAATATTCTAGAAACAATTATCAATAACCCAAATCACCCACTATGCATCACACCTTAAACTGCTGAACATTTTATCTTGAAGCAGAATTTCTTCTAAGCAGTAAAAGCAAACCCCGTGTAAGATAAGAAAAATGAAAATAATATTAGAATTTGATGCATTTTCATGGAATGCTGTTATTGCATTTGGCAACCCTATGACACCTAATAATATTCACTCAAAAATACAATGCAAGCAAAGATACACATGTGATTGTCTAAAGCGCACAGAAAAGGAAGTAGATATTAACAAGCTCATCGAGTCAGATATATAGCTCATGAATCTCGGTGTCATGTCCTCATCCCCAGCTCTCACTTTTGTCCACATAACAGAACAATAAACAACTAATGACAATCCTTCAACAAGCATTTAAATATAACAGATCAACACAGAGTTGTATGATATGAATCTTTTCCTATCATTTCCATACTACATGAGATTTTATCTTTAATTCTGCATGATCATTTTTTTGGCATTCCCAATCCTAAAGCTATTGTTTCCAGGCCTTCAAAACACTTTCCTGGAACATATAAGCAAGAGAAACCACTGGACAGGAATTTTCAATCTTATTTTAACACAAGATGTGGCAATAGATCTTGAGAAAAGCAAATCACTATGCGCTAAACATTCAAACAAAAAATCAAGAAATATAACATGTAAGCAACTGCATATACCAAAACCCGTCCTCCCGATTTACTTCTGAAGAATAAAAGTGTGCCAAACTTGATTTTAAAAAAAAACCAGGATCTCTGATTGAATTATTTACCACTTTGATCTGCTGGTTTTCAACCCCGCGTTCCTTAATAAGTTCAAGCGACGCAACTATCGTACCCCCTGGAATCAAGAAAAATGCCTCAAAATCAGGAATAGTTACAGGCCACCATTGCGGAAAGTAACTTTCTTAAAAGTTGCAACATTTTGTGGTAGTAATAAATGCAAAAGTAAGCACAAGAAATTACATATCACATGAAGCATTTTTTTGGTGGTGGTGGGCAGGGAAAGGAGAAAGAAAGGATTGGAAATATTTTCATAAGAAAATTGATAAATTCACAGTCATCAAGAGTTTCTTCTTCTCATCCAGCTAAGCAATGAAAGATATATATATATATATATATATATATATATATATATATATATATATATATATATATATATATATATATATATCACTGATGAATAATATACTGGATAATGGCTAAATATTTCACCTAATCTGTTCATTAGAAATCTGTATATCTTAGAAAGATGAAGGAATAACTATGTATTTTATTTCTATTGTCCTTCAATGAAGCAATAATGGTTAGACTGCAAGCTTGCAGTAGAAATGAGACTGCTTATGCAAATCCTACTTGCTTTATATAACCAGTACTATGGTTCTGCACTACAGGATGGTTTGTTATATTTCATGTTGCAACATCAAAGAAAGACAACAGAAAACTTTACATTGAAGAATTTCAAATTTATCACAGTGTTGTCATCAACTTTATCACAGTGTTGCCGGCATTACTATTTATCAGAGTAGATCAGTACCTGTTGCCAGCATAGGATCGACCACAAGTACTCGAGACCCTTCAGGGAATGTGTCAGGCAACCTATTGAAATAGTTGAAAAATGTGAATAATAAACATGAGGGTCAGAAAACGAATTCTAAGATGAAATACAGTAAAAGAATTAAACCAGACAAACAAACAGGAAATAAAAGAAGATCCAGTGCACTGGAAGTACACATTAATAAAAAGAGATGAGAAGATTCCAATTCATTAGTATTTGAAATTAATAGATGACAGAATCATATAATGCAAACGGAGGGTATGATAAACATTTCCTTATTTCTCAGACAGAAAATTCTTACTTATTCAGATATATTGTTGGTTGAAGTGTCTCGTCATCTCTACTTATCCCTATTGCAAGAGAACAAACAAAAGAACAAGACAATTACAATTCTTAAACCAACAATGTTGTCATAATAGACAATCATAGATCTCTCATTCTCTAGGGAAAATGGAAAAGTAAAATTTGAAAGCTGCTTAGCTTGATGCAAACAATTTTAGAATAACTATCATTTTGCAGTTTCTTTTAAATAGCTGACCCCAAGAAAATAGGTAGTAGACCTACAGCCCATTGCAGGCATGGACAGGATTTAATCCCAAATCTATAGGGACAATTATAAGGAATCTTATCATTGATATCATGACTGTAATGACATCTCAAAAGATGGGGGGGGCGCACTTTGCCCCGTCTTTGCTCTCATATTTAGTACGTGTGAACGTACCTAGATGGTATGTTTTGGTTGCTGGCAGAATTGATGATGCATGTTCTGCAAGAGCAAGACCAGCTCGCAAGATTGGAATAATCTTCAAAACAGAAGAAAAAATTAACTCATCACCCAGCTACAGCATTCAATTAGATCATAACACTTTCATTACAACCGTACCACAGAAACAAATACTTTAACATAGAAACAAAAATTGATTGACAAAGTCAACAGCAGAGTAGCAACAATAAAGGAAAACACCATTGAAATTCTGCAATTATTAACTCACTGCCACAGGCTCTCTTGGATCAATAAATTCAACAGATGCAACTCCCATCGGTGACTGAATCTCTCCAGTGACCATAGGCTAGCAGCAACAAAACAGAAAATCAAGTAAGAGAACATGAAACCATTAAAAACAACTCATTAAGAATAAAAATTTCTCCCATGAACTGCTTAAAAAAACAATCAACAATGCACAATAGAGTTTCTTAAGTTCTTGACAAATCCAAAATTCCCATTTATCAGAAGTTCTTAATATTTTTACTAAACCCGAGATTCACATTTGTCAAAAAATTATAACGGACATTCAAAGAGAGGAAAAGAATCAAGGACAGGACGAAACAAAGTGAAATTAAAGAAACTAACCAACCAGTCCCTTGAAGCTTCATACATAAGTATCCTGCCTAACTCAGCCATAGCATTCCCTGAAACAAAAATATAAAAAAAATAAAAAAATACAGAAAATAAATTAAAATAAAAAAGGGACTGAGTCCAAACTAACTGAAAATCGGGGAAGGAGTTTGTTCATTTCTCAAAACGGAAACCCAGTGCTTTATCAATGGATGTGGAGGCACAAATACCTGAAAAAAATACTAATTTTAACAAGACAGTAAAATAAATGGAGTTAACAGAGATCAAGAAATGGGGACTGACAAGCATGCGGTCCTCAGAAATAGACATCTCCTCGGCAGTGGCCATGTGAGACTTCACAGTAACAAAGCTGCGCCGAAGAGTAACGGAGCACGACATCATCTGTTAAGTGAAAGACAGAGACGGCCGGGCAATATTCTCCATTAGTAATAATATTTATTGAAAATAATAAAAAAGAATGTACATATTTAGTAATTACCTGTTTTGGAAGATGGGGTTTGAGGGTAAGTGGAGGGGGAAAGGAATGATTATTAAGTAGGAGAGGAGGAGAGTTAGGGTTTTGGTGATGACATTGGGGCGAGAAACGCGGCGTAGAAGGAGGGTATGCCCGGAGACAGTTGATATTACTAACGCGGCACGCCATGCATCCCAAGATGGATTTCGTTCGATCTAAAGCTCAAGATTCCTACGCCGTTTTATTCTTTTCGGATAGAATTGGGACTTCTGGTATCAATGGATCTTGTAGCCTATTGGGCTAATCCATTATCTGTGGAGTCTCCTATTAAAAATAAATAAAAAAATTATAAATAAAAAAAAGTGAGCGATTGAATAATTATTACCTGCGCTGCTTTAAAGCTACTTAAAAATAAATAAAAGAAGAAAAATCAGGAAACAACCATTACAGTAACATGAGTGAAAAAAAAAATACAGGAATTTTATGAGCTAATCAAATCGTTGAAACTATTTAATCAATCCAGGAGAAACCAGTTTTTAATTATTAGCATGACAAATAAAGAAGCTAATCCAGGAGTATAGGCTGCACTAAGAGTTCAATGTAATTATGTTAATAAAAAATTGCTAGGCAACTCTTTATCAAATTCAACTATTACGTAAATAAGACTCCAAAAGTTAAGCAAAAAAAGTCAACAACTTTCTAAAAAGGGGTAAGACTCAATTACAAAATAGTTTATTTCAACTGCAAACAATTTTTAATGGGATTAAATATAATAAGGAATGCATTTTTATTTATATAGGAGGCCATTTAGCAGTGCAATTAAAACACTATTTTTCTAAAATTTGAAAATATTTTTTGTTTAAAATTATTTTTTTAATATTTTTAAATCATTTTGATATGTTAATATCTAAAATAAATTTTAAAAAACTAAAAAATATTATTTTAATATATTTTTAAATAAAATTCATTTTAAAAGATGACAATTATCACATACATAAATATACCCAAGATTTCAAACATCAAATATATTTTTTAGCTTTTCTCCATCATGATTTGTTGTGCATATTGCATTGCTTGCTAATCCTAATCTGGATTCATCTTGGAAACAAATACAAGAAAAAACAAATTTATAATCACTGATAATATGGCAATGTTGTCCCTCTATGTTATAATGAAATTGTTAAAAAATAATTGATTAATTCTAAAAAAAAAAAAAGAACATCTATCATGTGTGTGTCTTTATATATATAGTGAAAAAATACAAAAAAAAATGGGGAAAAAATTAAAAAACTAGAAGAAAAGAAAGAAATTGAAAAAAAAAAACATTGTAACAATTCTTAATAACATGTGAGGGAAGCTATAATGCTTTCCTCACATGTTTCAAAGTATTACTTGATTAGATTTTTTTTTTACTTGAAATATGTTGCGGGTTGGTTTAAAAAAACTTTGAATCTAAAAAAATATCCAACCTTAAATAAAATTTTTGACATTGTTATTAAATTTAATTTAGGAAATTAATCATAAATTTCACTAAGCTGATTATTTACCTAGGCGTAGTAGTTTAAAATTAGTTTTACGAGAGTTGCCCTTACATTATCTAGTTTTATTAACTTTATTTTTTAAAATTATTTTTTATTTAATGATATAATAACAAAAATAGATAATTGTATAATAAAAACATCAATAAAATATCAGAACAATTATTTAAAAGTATGAAAAATTTATATAAAACAAGATGAAATAAATTTTGAAGCCTAATTAAAATAAATTAAATATTGAAGGATTAAATTAATAAAAAAATAAAAGATGACATTTTTAAAAAATATAAACTATTTAGTATTATTATTAAACCATTCTCAACGAGTTAGACTTGAAATCTCTTGACCTTTTCTTAGCCAAAATTTAAAATTAACTAGTAATAGAGTTGACTCTACATAACTTAATTGATTTTATGGGTTTGAAAACAACTTGGATGCCCGATAAAAGTGTGGTTTGACTTTAAAAAAATTCTAAATGGTATATTTTTTTAACATTGAAACAACAACACATTGTATCAATTTAGCTTTCTAATTTAACTCGCAAAACTTGCGACTTAGATCATGAACTCTATTAAATTTAAGATATTTATTTATTTAATTATATGATAATAAAAATAGGTGCTTATAAAAATTGATTACTAACCTAATATTATGATATTTGTTTGAAATTGCGATACTAATAAAAAGCAAATGAAAAAATAGATTCAAAATTAATAAAACATTAAATGATGAAATTGAAAGAAAAATATTTGAAAGCTAGAAACATTTTTAAAAATAAAAGGAAAATAAAAAAAATCTTGAAAAATTAGAAAAACAAATTGAGGTATTTCATTGTTTATATGAATTATGAAGCACTATAAATACATCTGGTTCTTTTAGTAAAGATATTGGATTATTTACTCACACTATACTAGAAGCTAGATTAATTTAAAAAAAAATGTAAAAAAGAAAAATTAGGCATTATTAATGTGTTTTCAAGAAGAAAGTTTTTTAAAATTGCATAAGGATTGACCCGGTCGATTTGGCAAATTCAAAGGTAACTTGGAAAATTATAAAACAATATAGTTTGACTCAAAAATAATTTAAAAAAAGATTTTTTTAAAAAAAAGTATTGAGATGATAATATATTAAATCAACATGGGTCAACCTAGATTAACATATAAAATTTATAATTAAAGTCATAAGTCCACGATAATCTCATAACAAACAAATAAAAAAGTATTTTGAAATTCAATTCTCAATTAACTTAATATTGAATGATGAAATTAAAAAAAATAATTAAAAAAATAACCCGAGTCAACCAAATGTAATATATCAAATTTGTGTATTAAGATCAGAATAACCTAATATAAAGGAAATCAAAATAAAGTGTGAAGCTTAATTACAAATCAATACAAATTTAAAGGATGAAATTAAAAATAAAAATCAATTATAAAAGAGACAAAAAAAAATTAGAGTTAATTCGGGTTAACCACCAAACTCGTGACTCGGACTATGAGATTAAGATAACCCTATAGAAAATAAATTATAAAGTTTAATTCTTAATTAATTTAACATTTAAGAATAAAATTTAAAAAAAATACAAAAAAATCTAGCCAACCAAGTTAACTCACAAAAATTGTGACCCGAGTCAAGAATCTAGATAACCCTGAAATAAATCTAAATAAATTATAAAATTTAATTTTAAATAATAAAATTTTAAAAAATAATTTAATAATAGAAAAACAAAAGCTGATGCAATAAACACTACTTTGTAAAAAATTAATAATTGTAATTTCTACTTCTCAATTAGTTTTTGTTTTGATAATAAATCTGTTCATATATAAATTATATTTTAAAAATAATTAATAAGTATTCAACATGCTTGTAAGAAAAAACGAACCTCACATTAAGTTGAGAAATAATATATATATATATATATTATCAATGCTTTCTTTCAAAAACTATCACGCGTATTTGATGGAGTAATTTTATTATTATTATTATGCATCATTTGACTATGTCAATTGTCTTTGCAAAGCATAAAAAAAGAGGAAATTATAAGAAGTTAATAAATGTTTTGAATTAGAAGTTTAAATAAATCATTAAAGTATTATAAGTTTCAAATTATCACATGTAATTTCAGAGAAATAAATATTTGTTTCATTATAAATAATATATCCTTTAAACTTGGACACCTTCACAACACAATAAAACTCAGTTGTTTATGCTTAAGATATTGTTAGACATCTTATTTTAAAATTTAAATTAGTTTCTATAATTATAAATATTTTATTAATCGAACATCATATTGATTAATAATTAATTTATAAATATTTAATAAAACCCAAATAAATTTTAAACTACAAATAGATTTTTATAGATAATTATAAATTTTAAACTACAAATAGATTTTTATCAAGAAACTTTTGTAAATCTTAGGCCATATATAGCGAAGAAATTTTCTTAAAAATTTAATATATATATATATATAAGGAATTGAATGGACGCTAGTTTTTTAATTGGAATAAAAACAAGGCATGCAGTACTGTCTAGAGAAATTACAATTCAACTTCTATGAAAATAAGGGAATGTTGAATGAGAAAAACCTCTTCCCTGAGTTTCTTGGTTTATGGCACGGGAGCTACAAGCTGTTACTGGTCCACAAATCTGACGGCTCAGTTAGTGGAAGCATTTGTAAAGAATTTCAAGCGTCTCGTCTCGCAAGGTGGACTGTTTCTTGCCTTGGCTTCTGGGTTCGGAATTCATGGTCATATGCTGAAAAGAACCATCTTGTCCAGAAGCCCTACTTCCACCCTCCTCAACTTCTCTACCTCATCATCATCTGCGAACCCACCCTATAATATCACTACCTGCATTATTGCTTCTCTTCAACAATGTGCTATTGGCAAGAACCTCAAAAAGGGTCAACAACTTCATGCTCAATTGCTCATCACCGGCCTTTCCTCCTCCTCACCCTCATCCACCACGAGTCTCATCAACATGTATGCTAAATGCAACCAAATGAACCAGGCCCTTTTAGTTCTTAACCGCACCGCTGATTATGCCCGTAATGTTTTTGCATATAATGCATTGATTTCCGGGTTTGTTTTAAATGGGCTGCCACAAGATGGGTTGGGAGTTTATGAGGAAATGAGACAGGCGGGGGTTTTGCCGGATAAGTATACGTTTCCGTGTTTAATTAAAGGGTTATGTGAGGTTATGGAGGTTTTCCAAGTGAAAAAGATTCATGGGTTGGTGCTTAAACTTGGTTTGGACTTGGACATGTATGTGGGTAGTTCTTTGGTTAGTAGTTACTTGAAGTCTGAGTTAATGAAAGAGGCACGTGAGTTGTTCGATGAAATTCCTGACAGGGATGTTGTATTATGGAGTTCGATGGTTAATGGGTATGCACAGATTGGTCGGTTCGATGAGGCGTTAGGAGTTTGCAGGGAAATGAGTCAAGAAGGGGTTTTGATGAGTAAGTTTACCGTTAGTGGGATTTTGTCGGTTTTTGCTGTAAGGGGGGATTTCGATAATGGAAGGCTGGTTCATGGGTTCATGATAAAAATGGGGTTTGATTCTTGCGTTTCAGTTTGCAATGCATTGATTGATATGTATGGGAAGTGTAGGTGTGTTGTTGATGCATTAGAAATTTTTGAGACGATGAACGAGAAGGATATATTTTCGTGGAATTCAATTTTATCTGCTAACGAGCTTTGTAGTGATCATGATGGAACGTTGAGGTTGTTTGATAGAATGTTACGTGATGGGGTTCAGCTTGATTTAGTTACAATTACTACCATTCTTCCTGCGTGCTCTCATCTTGCTGCCCTGGTTCGAGGTAGAGAGATTCATGGCTACATGATTGTTAATGGGTTTGTCAAGGATGGTGAGAGTGAAAATACGTATAGTTTGCAAACTATTAATGCTCTTATGGACATGTATGCTAAATGCGGGAGTATGAGAGATGCTGGAATGGTTTTTTATAACATGAGGAATAGGGACACAGCATCATGGAATATAATGATCACGGGATATGGTATGCATGGTTATGGAAATGAGGCATTAGATATATTTTCAGGCATGTGCAAGTCCGGGCTTAAACCCAATGAGATCACATTTGTGGGAGTTTTGTTAGCTTGCAGTCATGCAGGTTTTATAAGCCAAGGGATTAAATTCCTTGGGGAAATGGAGCTGAAACATGGTGTGGTTCCAACCATTCAGCATTATACTTGCGTTATTGACATGCTTGGGCGAGCTGGGCAGCTTGAGGAAGCGTATAAGTTGGCTGTAACAATTCCTATTCAGACCAATCCAGTTGTATGGAGGGCTTTGTTGGCAGCATGTCAGCTCTATGGTAACGTTGATCTAGCTGAGGTAGCTGCACAAAAAGTATTTGAGCTCAATCCTGCACACTGCGGCAATTATGTATTGATGTCAAATGCTTATGTGGCAGCTGGTCGATATCAGGAAGTGTTAGACATTAGACATACAATGAGGCAACAAGATGTGAAGAAGACACCAGGATGTAGCTGGATTGAACTCAAGAATGGCATGAATACTTTTATTAATGGTGACCGGAACCATCCTGAAGCCAGGTTGATTTATCCAGAATTGCACTTATTGGCTGCCCACATTCGTGAGCATGGATATGTTCCACTTCTCTAGGATTGGGAATGTGCTGAATGGCTGTCATCACACCTTGTATAATATATTTTTTTGGAATTCTTTTTTCTCCACGATTGATGGGAAAGCAAACAAACTTACTTTCTTGATCAGAAGATGGAGTGAATAAATTTTGGCTCTCATTCTAACGTCAGATCATACAGCCCTTCAATTGAATGGAAATTTAATACATGTTCAAAGTGAAGGTCAGGATCGGTCTCTTCTCATGTCAGGCCTTCAAGTTACTACAAGAGCTTCACCATGTACAAGTGAAATGTTGGTGAATGTGTAACTTAATTTTAGAATTCATAAAAATTAGTTAAGGTACAAATTAACTTGAACTGGTTTGGACACTCATGTGAATAATAATAATAATAATAAAAACCAATAATTATACCCTGCATGCGCATAGCATTCTGCTCAGCTAGTGGGGCTGTGCTTGTTATGGTTTTCTGATGCTATTATTATTGTGATTATGATTTTATCCATAGAACTTACGAAGATAAATTTCCATTTCAGCAGACAACAATACTGATGTTATTCATTGGTCTTAAAACCTGGTGTCAAAAGTAAAGAATAAACAATATGCAGGACGTGTGTGGTCAATCACATTAATATCAATATGTTACGAATCTAGTCACGGAATTCTGAAAATGATAACTTCTCATAGGAGAAAAAAAAAAACCTGAATAATCAGGTTTATTTGAACTTTAATCTAGAGTTAATATTTGATGAGTATAAATGATGTTATAAAATCAGTTATATTATAATAATTTTTTGTTCTAATAAAAAAAATTTGCTCAGATAAAACTGAATATTCATTAATTTTTAAAAATTACTCAAACTTGCAGCAAAACAAAACATAATATAATCTTATATAATAACTCTAATGGTTTTACAGTGAACTACAAACCAATAAATCTTAACTAAAACTTAATTAAGCTCAAGTCTGATGTTTAAAATAAGTTTAAACATTAATTTTGGGTCAAAACAAACCCAATAAAAATAAAAATTCTAAAATTAAAATATAATTATTTTAAATATTAATTAAATCTTAAAATTTTTTCAGATTAATACAAGTTATCAAAACAGTCCAAAATTATATTTTTTTATATTAAATCTCTTGCAGCTGAATCTAGATCTTGTAAATGAAAGAATATCTATTTGTGTCACCTCTGAATCCTCTTATTTTACTTTAAAGATGTTATCTTGATTGCTGAAGTTTCTTCTTTTATTTAGTTGAGAGTATACCCTAAAAAATAGAAAGAAAAATGATTGAAATACCTCATTTAAATAATATTTTATAATCTCCTTTTAAATAAAAAAATATGTAAAATAAGGGAAAAACAACAACAACAAAAAATTTCAAGTCTCTTTGTCATCAAATATATTTCATGATAAATATAAAATCTTTGCAAACTATAAATAATAGTTGCTATCGTAAATATAATTTATAACATTTACAAGTATCCATCGTAGCGGCTTACAATTATATAATTTTACCTGGTGGATTTCTGTGAATTTTGAGAAGAGCTCTGGAGGGATATGCCAATCAAATAAGCTTAAGTTTTCCTTGATCCATTTACACCCTTTGGAAGAAATTGTGACCACTGTGAATACCCCAGGGAAGAGCTACTTGTGCAGGCGATTTGTTTAGCTTTTCAGTAATTTCAACCGCACTGGTTCCTTTAAGATCTCTCCTTTAATCCAAGATCCTGGCGAACCCAGAAGGGCATATACCCGAAAGAGAGATTTTTTCACAATTATAAAAAAGGTTCTAAAGATAAAAATCAGTGACAAAAAAATTGTCTAGAGCACTACCGAGAGACGAATTCCAGTTAATTTGCAAATATAACTCAATGCATAATAAACGCATATAAGATATCGATCAATATAATCAAGATGCAGATCTTCTAAACTCTTGCTCAGTGCCCTTGAAACGTCTTCAGGAGCTTGGTCGCTGCCCCTGAAAATTTCATAACTAACACAGTCTCAAGTAATAATGACTTGATTGCTTAAACAGAGTTGGCTTTAGGCCAAGATCAGGGTCCTAAACTAAAGATATGCTCCTGACTTCAAAATTCGATGGTGATCACCAATCATCTATAAGCAATTTCAGTTCGAGTCCAAATCAAGAACGATGAGTGGCAAAAACATATAATAAAGTGCTAGAGGTGATGAACATCTCACTGAGTTCCCTTCCCCACTGCATAACAGTTCCTTCAATGCTACCCCTGTCTGCATTACATCAACACAAGGCTTGAAATATCTCTATTTACTTTACAAAGGCCAAAAACAGGAATGATAACAAACACGAAGCAGGTGTCTTCAAACTTCGAAATGGAAGATAACTGGTGTTATAGAAGGTGAATTTATTCGCCTCAGATAACATGAAAGTAAGAAGTGGTGAAAGTAAGAAATGGTTACCTCTTTTTGGTTACCGTAGACTCTAGCACAGGCAACATGCCTGTAGCCGGCCTGCATAAAGTTGAAAGCAATCCAAACTCAGTTCATTTCCAGCATTTCTATAGAAATTAATCTTAGAGGAGTCTGGGAAGAGCAGATGGAATTGATTGTAAGAAAAAAAGAACATTGACAGAAGATTTGACAGCTTCCCCGATGATACCAGGTGGGGCTTTCCGTGTCCCTGGGCGAACATATGAGATCTTTGTACCCGTATTCAGATCAAAATAGAGGTCCACGTTTTTTTTCTTTATCCATTTTCTTCTGTCATACGTGCATAACAGTGAAACTGCTATAGAAAGTTAGAAACGTTGTTCCTTTGGAATGGAAGATGAAGAAAAGACGTTTTTGGAGGCAACTATAACTCAACACGAATTTTCACGTGGGAGACAAGGTATTTAGTGGTCAGTTGATGCCCAACTCATAGAGATAAAAAGTAAATTTCATGTACTGGGTGAACGAATGAATTGATGGTCTCATTCCTAGAGCTTCACAGCAAAAAAATGGATCTTTACACGATAAATGTGAAAATGTTAATGGCATTTCCCTTTTGTGAAAGAGAATATCCGTGTAAACTGTAACTCTAAATTATAGCATTAGACAGTTATTAGATTAAGCAAATATGCTCCTTGTTGGCTAAAACGACCTGACGGAGTTATGGGACAGCTACTGAAGATACGGAGTAAAATTTTAGTCTTTTATGTTAAGCATTCTAATATGGTATCAGGAATTCCTCAAGTCCTACCTACCACTGTTTACAAATGGGGCACCTTCAGGGAAGAAGATTCACTTCTAGATAACCAACACAACGCAAAAACAACTGCTTGTATTTGATTGCCGGAGTCAAGAGTTGCGGGCGGATTTGAGTCTTTATCTGGCACGGACATTTACTGGCTTATCAAAAAATTTAATCAGTTGCTAGCAAAACTACCCCCAGATGCAAAGGAAAACAATTACCTTTTAAAGCGATAGGACCTGTACTAAACAATTAATCCTTTCCAAGGCGGCAAGAAGCTTGAGTAGTTCCCTCTACTCCAATTATACGATAACAACCAGAATTTGCAAAACATTTTCTTCTTTATGTAACCGCCAAAATCTGGAAAATAGCGTGAGAAAGAATCCATAAAGACAAATAGCCACTAACCTTTATCTGCGACAAAACAAGCTAAACCCAAGCTTACTCACCAACCATTAAAGGAAGAGTGAAAAAAATCTTACAATAAAGAAACATTTCTTCCCCAATTCACTTCCGGAAAAATCTCATGGATTGAAATTTCCCAGGAGAGATTGCATATTAACTACTTCCCTTCATTGCAGCAGAAACAAGGCATGTGCATAAAAGATATACCGATTCCAAAGTTTTGCAGCACCAAATCAGTTATGTAATAAGATTGTATGCGCATCAAGATCAACTTTAGCACCTATTTGCATGCTTATCAACAGCCAAAAACTGTGAGATAAAGAAACATGACTGAGAATAGTTAGATCAACAAACCATGAATCATGTTCGAATCTCACATCACTTATTTGAAAATAGTTTAGAACTTGGACAGCATCTGCCCTTTCTTATCCTTGGCAGGTTAAAAAATGACTAACTAATATCCCTGACATGGGTTTCAATACTAGCTCCTTCCTAAACATGATCAAGTCCAGAAGCAAAAACATTTCAAAACAAAACTATATCACTACAGTAGGCAGATATTGCCATCAGCTACATAAACTGGCCACCCTTAAACAGTTGTTTCTCCTCCAAGGAGTTACTTCTCCACAAAATTCTTGAGGTTCTTCAGCCATAGCAAGTATTCTTTGTTATCTTTGTTGGCCATGTAGTCGAACAAAACATTTGTTGTGCTAGGTTTGATCCCTCTAATCTCGAGATGCTTGTGGAAAGCATTCTGCAAATTCTCATCCAAATCACTGCCAAAGAAAAAACCATGTCAGAAATGAACCAAAAACCACCCAAGGATTAAAACAATGAACGGTCCACGTAGTAAACTTACTTAAAATCAGGTCCTGCATATGCAAGTTCATCCGAATTTTCTGGGTTTTTAATTGACAAGCTATCAATTGTGATCTCGTCGGGGAAAGCAGTGACACCAAACTCCATATACTGACCACTTCCCTTGGAAATACTCACAACCAATGGAATGCTAGAGACATCTGAGTCCTTGGTATTGTCATCGGTATCCTCGACATCCATTGAAACATTCAGCATGTCAACTTCAATTTTGATAGTTTCATCTTGGAACTTTCTATTTAGTGAAATGGTCCTCTCCCCGGGATTATCTTCAATTTTGAAAGGAAATTCATTTGGGATTTCCTCTACCTGTTTACATGTCAGTAAAAAACACATTTTTAATTAAAAGATGTTTTTTTGCTCATCAAGATTTTAGAATTTATTATCTACCAGCACATAGCTTGGAAATTCAAAGAAACAAGAAAATAAAAATTAGGCAACAAGTAAAACAACTCTCAAATTAAACAACAGAGAAAAGAAAACAGAGTATTATGCTGACAAAACTCTAAGCCTCGAAATTAAAAGACTAGATAATATATGTTAAACATGAATAACCAAAAAGCATATCATAAAAGAAGAGCAAAACTCATAATTTATGTTAAAAAAGGGAGAGAGAAAAAACCGACATCTTGGGGTTCCTCGGCGCAATCGATCTCATTTTCAAGAGCTCGA